TCTGCTGCATTCTGCATCTACCAACAAGAAGAGGAGGATGAAACCGCTGAAAGTTGGCTTCACAGTTTGGGTTTACTGGGCCTAACAGAGCCTTTTAGCAATAAAACCACCCATAATGCACCTGTAAGAAAATAATCATGATGCTGACACACTGACACTGGATATTTCTGCATGATTCAAATATCGATCCACAGGCGTGGAACACTGTTTTTGTGTGATTTAAGTGAAAGTCTGCTCCTCTCCTGCTGTACTGTACGTGCCTTTATGAACCACGCGAGTCTTTTTGTACCAAGAGTTTGGACGTTGGTGAAATCCTGCGCTGAGTGCTAGAGCTCAGCTACACACTTCAAATAAACGACTGAGGTTTTTCTTTTGTGCTTATTTGAAAATATCGTTTTGTGTTTGTTTGTTTTTTTACAGACAATCGTAACAACAACAGCATTTCACCGGAGAAATAAATATACTTGGAAAATGAAACATTTCTAAACACGTAAAAACAATTTGTACCAAAAACTAACTGCAGACACACACAATCATTTTACATTAAACGTCACTTTGACAAGTTCGAAACTTAAACACTGTTAATATAATTTATATGTCCATGAAACATATATTAGTTCTACTTTACTACTTTCTGAAAAACGAAGCATGTTTGTTTCACAGCACAGGGACAGAACTACTCGACTTCCTGTTTCAAACAGGCCGTTCCAGTAAAAGCTAAACAGAATCACTGCACACGAGTGAAAGCATGAAAATGTGAATTACAGTTGAAGAAATATTAACTTTTCAAGGAGTCACATGCAGTCGAGTGATTGTTAACAGAAAGTGGGCAAAACCTTCAAACTTTCATGGCAAACAGACACAGAGGCTCTTCCACTGACCCCTCTACATAAAACGCAGAGAAACAAATATAAATTATCCGTTACAGACGGAAGATTTACGTTAAAAGACTCTGAATCGAACACTTTCATTAAGGCCCTGGAACAATTTTCCAGAGATTCACTGAGATTCATTAAAGTCAGCATGCTTGGAGCCTCCAAGGTTCAGAGATGTGACCACCAGTCCCTGACTCAGGTCTGGACACCGGCCCTCCTTTTCCTAGAAACACACAAATACATTCAGCATTAATGTACAGTACCCCACACACACACACACGGTTCAAAACTTCATAACAAAGAGCCACGTGTCACAGCTGCCCTGTTATTTAAATGGGGCCACTTTTATAGTTATTCTCCAGCTCACAGAAAACTCACAGCTCTATATTGCAGAAACATCTCCTTGAAAGCCATGAAGTCAGTGAACGTCAGCAACATGTCAAAGATGTCACCTGACACTTCCTCCTTGTGCTGCCTGCAGAGGAAGGAGATAAACTCGTCACTTTTTCAGTGTACTTGTGTGCCACCTTGTGGTCTATTGCAAAATAACATTTCTTACGAGCAACACAACATAACTGACACATGGGCTGCTTTCAGTTCAGGTTCCACTTCTGTCACATCTTACATGAGTAACTCTTTAAAGGTGTCCATGCTGAAGCCGGGAATTCTCTCCATCAGCTGCTGCTCCAGGTATTTTTCCAGCAGGTCAACCTAAATAACAGCCAAGATTCTGCTTTAAGTCAACGTATTTGTAAAAACTGAACATCTCTGTATGACTGTGAGAGTGAAATCTGCCCACACTTACATATTCATTAAAGATGGGCGTGTAGCTGAGCTTGTTCTCATCAGAGTCATCAAACTCACGGTAATGTTTCTCCATGAAAATCTGCTGAATCTGCTGGAAGTCGTCCTCTGAAAGAGAAGCAGTGGACATGTAGAAAGCGCGTGTTCATCACTAACTGGTGGCACTGTCAGTGAACCTACCCATGATGATGTCCTCTATGCAGCCAATAACTCCATCGAAGGCCGTGTCTGCAGCCGAGGAACTGAAGGGAGAGAAGTGAGAGAAATCAGCACAAACTCCACGAGTTCCTGCTCTGTGGTGGATTTTACACAGCAAGAGAAAATCCCAAATGACTCTGAACTTTTGCACCCGTTAAACATGTTTGCTGTACAATCACTCCACCCTGGAAAAAGTGAGAAATCGCTAAAAAGCCCAAAATTACCCTGATATTCATGCCCACGATGAGTGCATCAAATCTGACTTAAAACAGGACGTCAGCTTCCTGCAGACGGTTAGAAAGCGTTTCACAACAACCCACCTGGAAATAGCAAAGTGCTCCTCGTCCGTATCGAACACGTTTACCATGTTGTCTCCACTACTCCGGATTTCTGAGAAGATAAAGCGAGCACACAGGTGAGCACTGCCCTTCTGCTAACACCTGTAAGATAAAACAGGCAGGTAGCCAGCGCTAACGTTCACAACAAACGCAACATCGGCTCTGAAGTGTGTTTCCGTTACTTGCTCTCATCAGAGTCCCCGCGCGAGCAACGTCAGTTAGCCGAGGCGGCCAATCAAAGACGCACGCGGCGTTAAATTGCCGCCATTTCTCATAAGTGAAAAAGTTCATTTACAGAAGTGTCGTGACGTGTTTAACTCACCCGGCTCCCTGATGTCCATGTCGGCTAAACTGCTCACTAGCGTACGTAATCCTGTTACCAAGGAAACGAGTGAACTTTGTGCGCCTTCGTGCTCCGTCGGGTAAAACAAAAACTACCGTATATCGGTTCCCACATTTATCTGGAAGGGAAACAGCTGGTACTACTACTAATATTATACATCAAAATGTTCACGAATTTTGCAGATTACACTTGTTTGTTCACCAAATCATTCGCCATGAGGACGATTCACGTTTCTTCCATCAGGCCTGTTACTTTTAAACCGTCACCTACAGACGATCATTAGCCTGTTTTAGCGGAACCAGATGATTGTTGGAGCTTAAAGATGCAAAAAGGAAACACGTATAACTCAGATGCTGCCTGACGTCCATCAGAAGCGCTGAAAATCGGAGATCATATACGTCTTTTGTTCGTGCCACAAGAGAAGAGTGAATGAGACGGTGGATCGACCATAACTTTTATTTTAAAGTATCAATTAAAGTTTTATTATTGATATTATTGCAAATTTAAAATCGAAATCTAAAAGGTCGTATTAATATCGGTAATATTATGTAAAAGTAATTAAAATCATCTTCAGCTGCAACATTAACGTGAGGTATTAACGAATCTGTAATTATCCTGTAGCATAACGTATTATATTTAAAGTACTTCATGTACATTTTTATGCCAAATCCGACTTCGTAGGTTATTATCATACCAAGCAGGATTAGGACTTTCCTAAAGGAGTTATTAAATACAAAATAACGTTTAAACTGTTTTGCTGTGTCACTTTTCCCCTGACACATCTGTCCTGAGTGCATCGGGCTTCATGTGAGCCTGAGACAGTGCCCAGTGTTTTCTGCACTGTAATTCTTTGTGATAAATTACCAACACACCAAGAGACAAAAACATAGCAATAGATCCCTGACTAATATCCAGAGGAGATGGAGATCAGCTGTTACTTAAAGAGTTGCTGTGTGTGTTTAAAAATGTCCACATTTCACAGGCCAGTGGGTAAAATGATCAGTGAGTGTATCAATAGTTTGGTTTTGTAGCAGGAGTCACACAAAAGAATCACATGAACATACATTTATTACAAATGTCACAATCCAGGAAACAATTCTTCAATAAATCACATCTTTGGGAACTCGGGGAGATTTTCCTTTACAGATGTTTTAAATACATTCTCTCTCACACACACAGACACACAGACACACGCACACACACACACACACACACACACACACACACACACACACACACACACACACACACACACACACACACAAAATTCACCTCTCACCTCCATGGATAAGGTGCTCCAGGAAACTACAACATAGCAAACAACGACCATACCGGTCTTTTGTCATACCGAGAGATTCTGCTGTTGTCATAAACCGTTCTAGTATCGTGTGAATGATTTTACTGATTTTGTTCATGCAGCATGAAGCATCAACTCCTTCAGAAACTATAAGAACAGGATATATGTAAAATTGCTGTCATTTGAAATGCCATTGGGCGTTTTAAAATTGTACAATACAATTTTACTGAATTATGATTTAACGTACGATTAATTTTGTCACCTGTTTCCAAAATACAAACATAATTCAGTCAACCCAGAGATGCTTCAAGTAAAGGATGGACAGAAAGACAAACACAAGGCAAAAGACAAGAAGAGGGAAGATGAAGAAAAGGGAGCAGGAGTTGTACAGAACCCGCGTTTTTACTCAGCCTGAGCACTTCTGACAAACTTTGCTTTTAACACAAGATCACCAGCAGCGCTGTGACGTGCAGCACGTGAACGATCAATCCACATTTCCTCCTGCAATTCACCGCTCAGCTCGTGAGCCAACATCAGCGTTCAGCCTCATTTTAAGTGACCAACTAAAAACTCTTTTTGTGGACTGAAAAGTGTCAGGTTTGTCATCACAAACCAAAAATCAAACAGCCTCTCAGACAAGCTCGACCCCTGTTCCCCAACTGTTGGCACTAATCAAGTTTTACAGTGTGTGGTGGTGCGAGTACACACTTCCCTTACACTGGTTCTTTAAAATGTGCATTTATAACCGGGAGGAAGAAACCTGACTGCGATCACTTGTATGTGACTTTAATGTAAATTTTAATCCCCACATTCTGTGGTTGCTTTATAAACGAGTAAAGCACAAAAGGGAGGGTCAAATCAATCAGTTCTTATTCAGACAGAAACACGTTATTTCTGCCATTTACTTTCTTTTGTGATTTGCTTTGTAAACTTAATCAGAAAATTGAACTCAAGCGATTAAAGTCAATTAGACAGAGTAGAATCTGAGATTTTAGCCAACAATAGAATGAAAAACCTCCTACTGGGTGATCGATCAGTACAGACGGGAAAGCTGCCCAGGGTTTGAGTGTTGGAGAAAATGAAAATGCTACAGTGAGAACACAATCACTCACGCATCTGTAAGCAAAAAAAGAAAGTAAGACACATTTCAAGTTTGTACCTTCGGTTTAATACTGTACTACAGGCTGCGTTTTCCTCTGTGACCAAGCCCTGTCACGTCTGCAGACGTGTGCATGACGGCGATGGGGTTAAATAGTAGCAGCCTCAGGACTGAAAGCACAAGTGGGGTCCTCGTGATGGAAAGGTTCTTTGTTTTTAAATAGCTTTACACGGGCCTGGAGATAAGAACTCGGTTCTGTCTGTAGCCGAGTTACACGGTCTCTGCGCTTTTATTTGGAAAAAAAAAAAAGTAGAAAGTTTTCTTGGCCCAGCTTCTGCAGCGAGTTGTCAGAAGGATATAAAAGAGGAGATGTAGATAGACGAGGAAAAGCTCCTGGGGGTTCCAGCTGTCGGTTTTTTGCCCCTCCTCTCATCTCCTTTCTTTCATCTATCCACCCTCCATTGCCGCCATCTCGTCTGACCAGAATTCAGCGTTCTGCCATCATCGCCACACTGTGGCAACGTCCTCGCAGCCCTGTGGGGTAAGAGGGGATTAGAGGAGGAGGAGGAAGCTAAAGGGCTTGTGTGCCTCCGTTTACTGGAGCGAGCGCAGGAAGTGTGTCAGGAGACGTGTGCAATGAGTCTAACGCGGGTCTGGATGTCGTGGCGGCAGAGGGGGCACGTCTCTAACTGTAAGGCACACTCCATACACATACCACTGGGGAAAAGAGACGGGACAAAGTCAGATTGTTCCTGTTTAAGGAGTGAACAAAAATGAACTTGAGTTTCACAGACGTTTTATTGACAGCAGAAGAACACATACCCATGTCCACAGGGCCGCAGCTCTGTGTCGGCCATGACGTCACAACACAGCGTGCAGCAGTTGTCTCGGATGCTAACCTGCCTCATTAAGGCCAGACGCCGGTGTCTAGGAAACACACACACAAATACACACGTGACGTTTCTATACACATGCAGGTGCACCGTCTGCTGGGGTTTGTTCTGTCTAAGGAAAAAGAAGACTGGACACACACACGGACAGTTTTCATGCAATCGTTCCTTCTCTTCACGCCGTCTCCCTTTCCCACAGCGTTCAAAATCGATGTGTGGGGGGAGTGACTGATCAGAGTCATTACACTCATTTAGAGCCATGCATTTCAAGTTCAAAATAATCCCCAATTACCTTACGGTGCTCTGAAACAAGCTGTCTTAACCCCTTTTTTTAATTAAAAAAAATGTTAATTGTTGCATTTTTTGCAAATGTAAAAATAAATCAGTAAATAAAATAAAATCCAGATGTGGAATATGCAACTCAAACGGTTACATTTAGGTTTCTTTTTAAAGGTCACATTTTATGTACATTTTTAAGACGAACAAGCTAACGTTGAGCTGCTGAAGCTCAGCTGACAGATTTTCTGTGGGACAGCTGCTTAATGCGTCATGCTGCCAGTGTTGGGGAGTAACGGAATACATGTACCGCCGTTACGTATTTAAAATACAAAATATGAGTAACTGTATTCCGTTACAGTTACCGTTTAAAAAGGTGGTATTCAGAATACAGTTACTTTGTTGAAATAAATGGATTACACGGCGGTACTTTCCTGTTTCATATTGTCGCGGGTCAGGACTGTTTGGGTTTTGTTTGACAGCTACGTTCTTTCGTTCCAGGCGGCAGCGTTACGGTTGCCATGGTTACAGGGCGACGCTCTCTCTCTCTCTCTGTGTTTCCTGGGTGAGAGAGAGCGCCTTTTCGTTGTTGTTGTTGTGCTAAGCTAACAGGCAGAATGCTACAAGCATAGCTCTAAAGAATGCAGCATCATGGGCAGTGTAGTCCGTGCTGCAGGGAGAATGGACTGCTATACACGTTATGGGTCTGTGAGCGCGAGGAGGGAGAAAAAGGGGAGTGGAAAGGTACGAGTTGTCGTCGAGGAAAAACGGGAGCTGGAAGCATGTAAATATAATAATAACCACTTCAGCCAAGAAGAGAGCCTGACGAGCCCAGTTGTAAGTAAGCTATTAAGACTCGACTGTACACCGTGTTCGTGTTTTCCTCCGAAACAATAAGTTCCGTTGGAGCAGCCTTTCAACGCCTCTCTCTGTCTCTCACTAGCAAAGTTGACCCACACAACAAAGTAAAGCTATTTTTCAGCTACGAGCCGACAGGGACCCCGCCGTATTAGTCAGAGGTCCCTTTACTACAGTTCGGAGTCGCGGACCTTCAGTAATAGTAATAAATCACACAGCAATAGGACATTCATGTTGTTGTAAAAAGCACGATAATATATTAAGTAATCCAAAGTATTCAGAATACATTACTGTCATTGAGTAACGTAACGGAATACGTTACAGAATACATTTTGGGGCATGTAATCTGTATTCTGTAATGGAATACATTTTAAAAGTAACCTTCCCAACACTGCATGCTGCACACGGTGGTGTGGACAGACGCTTGGTTTTTAGATGCAGCCATTTCTATTGCGTCAGTCTTTCCTTCATTTAGCCCGACTGTGTTTCAAAGAAAAGACAAAAACAGAGGAAATGAAAAGCTGTCCATCCTTTTCATTTGTCAGTCAGTGACAGGACACTATAACAAACACCTACATCGAGTCTTTTCTTTGTCCACATTATTTTGCTATTTTTGTTGATGATGTTTTAGAGACGCGATGATCCAACTGTGGTAACGTTCAAGGTCCCGTTGTTGCAACAGATCGCTGCAAAGTTGAGTCAACAACGTCCTGACACAGAGGAACATTAGAGCTTTGTATTAAGCAGCTGTAGCCCGTCTCCATCCTGTCTTATTAAATCAGATATGACATCAGGGTTTCGTTTTTGCTCCACTTTCAGAGTATGGTTGCGTGGTTACACTGAGCCAAGACCGAGCATCTGCCCAGAGCAAAGTTTGACATGTAGGAGACAAATGCACTGAAGATTTTAATGTTACCGTTGAAATAAAAGTGCTGGTTTGATGCAGCCGACAGACTCTAATGAGAGGTTTAAAGAATGATGAGTGAATGAATTCGTTGTATAAAGCGCTTTGAGTGCTCAGAGTGAAAAAGCTATACAAGAACCATTCAGAGGACAGTTTAGTTACAGCAGATTACACACTGCTTTCCCAACCTCTCACAGCATCATCCAACACCACGAAATAAATAAATAAAATATGTCACGGACCTGTTTCATGTCTTACCTGGGCAGGATGATCTTTTCACTGGGCAGCAGTGAAGCAAAGTCATTGAAGGTGCTGAACTTGACAGAAGGTGGGTGACGGAAAGGCTTGGCCCCGAAGTTAAACTCACACTGCTGGTACGACATGAAGCTGGCTGCCGCAAAGAAGCCGGACCTGGCACAGAGGGGAAGAAAACACGGGGATAAATGAGAGAAAATGTGGAGACACAGAACAAAATAAAGAGAAAAATGAGGAAAGGAGAGGAAGGGAGGAAGTGAAACATGACGAGAGGAGATGACAGACTTTGTGTGGACTCACGTGGCAGATGAGAACACCTGTTTCTCTGGCGGGAGCTGATGTCCGTTCAGGTAAAAGATCATCTGCTTTTTGCTGAGATCCAACAGGAAGCCGATGGCATCTCCTAAAGGGAACGCACACGCAGCAGAATGAAGCTTTGGCGTGCTATTACTGTTATCTGTGTGGGATGTGGGCCAGAGCCTGAATGTTGGCAGTGACAGCGTGGGCGCTAAAAATCACAAAACAGTCACGCCGAAATAACAAAGCTATTTCCAAACACTGACACTCATGTCATTATAACACAGGTTTCTTAAAATGGGAACATTTGAAAATGTCTTTAAAGTCAGCAAAAAGATGGCAGCAATGCCTGATTATAACTACATGTATGTCAGTACTGCGTACCCTCCTTCCAGCAGGGGTGAGCATGAGGTTTACTGCGAGCGTTGTACCAGATTAGCTGCCTGCAGCCATCGTACGCACACGAGTATTCATCATCTCCTATTCCATAACCTTCCTGTAAAACACACACACACACACACACACACACACACACACACACACACACACAGATTAGGTGGTGCAGTCAACCCAAAGGAGAATATCTCATCAGATTCAGAACACTTTGCTAAGGGCAAACTGTAAAAGTATTCAAGTACATGGTTTAGGAACTTGCTGTCCTTGGTGGCCCATCCGATCTGCATCACCCCCGATGTGATAACCGTCACCTCGTAGTACCAAACGCCCGAATCCACACAGAATGTACAGCGCACGCTCTCAAAGGATGAGGCATCACATCGCGCCTGAAGACAAGAGCAAACAGAAGGAGGTTCAGACTTTTCAGTTACAGTAAAAACTCTGCATCTAATCTGCATTCACACGCAGACTGACCTCGAGTCCAGTCGGGGAGATCTTGAGGTACTCGCTAACATCGTTGCTGTTCAGCATGGCGTTGATATTCGTGAGGTTGACTTTTTCGTAAGTGAACTGACGACCGTCCTTTAGGACTGGATGGAGAAGAGCGGGAGAAAAATGATGGCTTTTCTTTTGTCGGTGACTCAGAGGATTATAATTGGCTCATCTAAGAAACTACACCGGCACAGAACGGGTGAAACATGGGGCTACTCACACAAGTTGTCAAGGCTCCACTGTGCACAAAATCCAACCTGCCTCTTTAGATAGTCAGGATGTTCTGCCCAAGACTCCAGAACAGCCAGACGATCGCTGATCGAAGACTCGGACACAGTCAGCTTGTTCTCGCCTAAGCAAAGGAAACCAGAACGTCTGTGAACCTCGCACAATACGTCACAACCCTGCTGTGTGTAAAAGCATCCCTACACGGGAGGATCTCAATTAGCTGAGCATCAGCAGCTTCAGTGCTGTTTGTGCACCGCATCGAGCTACAGTCGCCCACGTTTCAGGAGCACTCGGAGCAGAATTGACAACACAAATGGGAGAAAACATGTTCAAGAACAAACAGCATCAATAAAACGTGAGCCATTTGAAATGAAGCAAAACAAATCACATGAAACCCTGTCTCTAAACAGACCTCACAGTTCTTTATGCAGTGACTTCAATTAAATATGTAGGGGGCAGCTCAATGCTGACATTTTAGAGAAACTATAAGAAAAGATTTGTAACTGAGACCATTACGTCCTAGTCGTGAAATACAGAGAAGTGGTGGGTTTTAGTGCTATTATGCTTCATCGCTCAGGTAATAAAACTGCTAAACAAAAGCACTCATCTGAATTCTGTGAAACACTAATCGACAGCAGAAGAGCCGTTTACAGCTCCTCGGCTCATTTATCTGATAACACACGTCTTATTTCACCAGCCTAATCGTGAGTCTTCGTTTTTAAACTGGCTTCATATAGTGAGTGAACCTACTTGTCTGAGAGAACTTCTCCAAAGCGATGAGAGCAAACAGCATGACAGTGGGGTGGGCCTCGGAGCTCTGGAGGAACCACAAATATTACACATTCATTTTCCACATATTTCACCAATTAAACAAACCATTAACTTTCATGTTATAATTCAACCTTAACGCTCCCTTGAGTACTTTATAAAAAGTCGCTGCAGTGACGTGATCGCATTCATGTTCGCAGTGGCACAAATACAACCAGTCCAAAGAAACGCACTTATTCCCACTAAATTTGGCCACTTCAATATTGCGTCTGTTGTCTTTGTCAGAAAATGCTGATGTGTTTTGTTGCTGTTGTTAGACCAGCCTGAAATGCGCACTGCAACAGACCCGACTTCTTTATAGCTCTGACAAAACTTGGTGACGCAGTGTCACAGAAAACAGTGCAGCTCTTATCTAATAAACAGCGAGAGCGATCCCAGCAGATGTAGCAGAGTGGTGTCCACATCTTTATAGTCCACCGTCTCTGCCGTGCATCATTGGGGATTGGGCTGCTCGACGTGATTGGACCTTACCAGACTTCGTTTTAAGTAACCTGAAGCTTTCTCACTGTTCTTGCAAGTAGAATGTTACCCTAGGGCTGCTCAATTAATCGAATTTTAATCACGATTACAATCTGGGCTTTCAACGATCATTAAAAATGACTGAGCCGATTATTAGCCCCTCCCTCGTGCTTTACTCTCGCGCTGCTCCGTGTGGCAAATCGAGCGCACCTCTCTGCATTTCGAACACATGTCACAACAATTAAGAGCACCGGTCTCCAACCTTTTTTGCGCCACGGACCGGTTTATGCCCGACAATATTTTCACGGACCGGCCTTTAAGGTGTCGCGGATAAATACAACAAAATAAAACTAGTACCGGTACCGAAAAAAAGAAGATTTATTCATAACACACGTGAAAAGACCCAGGAAAACCGAGTTAACGATAAAACGATAACAAAATAACGCTGAAAACCGATAAAAACCCTGAAAACTATACATTTCACACCTGAGCCTCAACTCTCGCGGCCCGGTACCAAACGACTCACGCACCGGTACCGGTCCGAGGCCCGGGGGCTGGGGACCGCTGATTAAGAGGACCCGAGGGAAGCTCGGAAAGCTGAGCAGAAGTTATTTGGAGAGGAGAGTGACTGCTGTTGGTTGAAAAGAGGGAAAAAACTTCAGTGGTGTGGAAACATTATGGGTTCAGTCAGACGTGGATCAAGTAGACACAGTGTGTAAACTCTGCTACAGTGTAGCTGCACCACAGAGCAACACTGCAAAGCTCACTAAACACAGATGTTTACATTTTTCATTTATTTCTTATACTGCAAACATTTGCACTTATCAGTGTTTGCACTGTTTTATATTATTTTTTAAAGTCATTATTCAACACATTGTTATTGTTAAATAAATATTGTCAAATAATCGAGATGATTATCGTGATTATCATTTTTGCCATAATCGAGCCGCCCTAGGTTACCCGGTGTTATAGAGCTCCGTCTGAAGGATAATAAAAGCTCTCGGACCACAAGGCATCAGCAAATTGTAGGCAATGTGCAACAGTGTCATTCGTGCAGCATACCACACACTAAACAACACCGCGTGTCAAGGTCTGCTCACCAGGCTCTCTAGAAGGTATTCAAGGGTTCCAGGGCTCAACAACCCAATACTGGGCAATCCTACAAATAAAAGGTGTTGTAAGAAACAGGGCAAACGTTGGTCTTTCTTTAGGTTTATTGAAAACATAAAAATACCAAAAATTAAACACAAATAAACCAGAACTGTGGACTGTACCGGCTAGCTTCTCTGCCAGGCATCCCAGGACCGCAGTGGTGTTTCTGTGTTTAGCGGGGTTTAGAGCGTCTTGTTGTGCAACGGCTGAACTCAGACTCAACATGTCCGAGAGTTTCTGGAGAGCATCCTGAACAGAAAAGGAAAACTTCAGCGAGGATCATTCATTGTTTCTCCAAACAACCTAAAGTCAAGCACCACAGAAAGCTGGAACGCTTCTGTTTTAAACATTTAAAAACACTTCCATGATCCTGACAGATGATGCTACAAGGACATAAACCAGGATTATTCCATGCACAGTTGGCGCGGAGCACCCACAATTTCTATTCTAAGATTGTACTGATTGAGTCTTAGGGCCCCGTGATCGGAAGGTCAGGGGTTTGATTCCCCTGAACGGCTACCCTGAGGTACCCCTGAGCAAGGTACCGTCCCTACACACTTCTACCCAGGCGGCCAATGGCAGCCCACTGCTTCACTGAGTGAATGGGTTAAATGCAGGAAGGAATTTTCCCACAGGGATCAATAAAGTACACTTTATTATTATTATTACATGATATTGTGTGAAATATAAGTTCCACTGGATTCACTGCATTTCTGTGGGATACTGTGAGGAGCTCACTCTGTTCAGAGTGTAACGGTACGGCCTCTGTCCCCACATCACTGATCATGGAAGCAGCAGGCACATTTTATTTGTTCAAAGAAGTTTAAAAAAAAGGTTGTGGGTGAAGGGGGGGATCGGAGGGAAAAAACAAAAAAGTTTTAGCTGAATGAGCACTTGTTGTTCTACACAAGATTAATCTATCCTGGACAATAATAACAATAACTGTGATTTCATTTTTATCATTTCTAATTAATAGAAATGATAAGAAATCTACAAAAATAGCTGCACTTCCTTTAATCTGTGTGACTTGAGCGAAAATCGAAACTAATGATTTAAAATGCTGCTTCCAAATATAAACGAGCATCATTTTAACTGAAACATATGCGCAGAGAAATGTGAGTGAGCGAGCGTCATCAAAATACAGAAAAGGGGAAAGAACAAGTCAAAGATTGTTATTCTGATTAAAGCTGCAGTCAAACAGAAAGGCCAAGGAACGGCAGATTTAAGATCACATCCATTACTTCCTAGGTTAAAGGTCAGATTGATACCTTGGTGGGTAGAGGACACTCATCCAGGAGAAGTGTGATCACTGCAGGGCCTAGTGGATCATCCAGTGGAATCACTCGTATCAGAGACTGGACAACCTCCAGCCAGCCGTCATCTAAGAGAAAACAAGAAACTTTCAACCGAGATTTTGTATCACTTTTGTTATTTTACACTGTTGGTTTTTGGTAATCTGCCTCCTTGAGAATCAAAAGATTCGTCATTGTCATTAAGCAGTCACCCAACATAATTCTGTATGATAGTTCTCAGCTTAAAACACAGAAAGACTTCAAATAAATAAATACACACAACAGGGAAACGAATAAAGAGGCAGCATTGTAGCCGCACGTTTTAAAGTGCAGGAGTCCAGTGCATGGCCCGAGGTGCCTGCATGCGTGCGTCTGTTGGTTCTTGCTTCAGTGGTCCTATACCGTCCTCCAGAAAGAACAGGGACAAAGTTTATCACCAGGTGGGCGGAGTCTACAGCTAGCTTTCCTTCTGGACATGGCCAGCATACACTGGATCCAGATCTGGGAGAGACCGTCCCATAAAGCCCTATGTTTTTCTCACTAGCCTGGCCAAGTCCTTTCTGTCCTGTTTCATGCAGCTGCCATACTCTTACACTAAGACACAAGATGCTTTTCTATTGTGGTTCTGCAACAATTCGCCAGCAGCCTTGAAGGAAGCCCAGTTAGTTTAACCTCTTAAGCACCCAAATAAGGGTGGAAAAGGGAGGAGATTGCGGAGATCATAAAGCCGCTGGGGGCTTAACAGGTTAAGCTTTCTGGGGAAAAAAGAGCCTTTGCTGGTCCTTCTCTACCAGGCGAGATGTAAATTAAGGCACAGGCCAGGTCAGCCGTGGCATGAATGCCCTAGATCTTACGGTTCTTTACCTGCTCTACCTCACGGTAGTGAGCATGTGGTGTCTTCCAAAATACATAATTAAAATCTAAGGTGCAATTATTAAATGGTCCCACAAGATTTTGCCTCATTTTCTGATGTATTCAGCTAGAACAGAGTTGCACACAGATGCTGTTTGGATACTGGCATTATATAGTTGACACTCGTGTTCTGTCTGTAGGGCAAACCAGCCGTCATTGAGCCCACACTAGCAAAAGTAGCAGCACACTTCTTGGTCTCTTTTCTGAGACTTGTTTGTTCATTTGTACAAGGTGTATTTAATCTGGCTCAAATTCCATGATTTGCCCATTTCATCTGAATGATCTCCAGTGAGATGTTTCTGAAAGGAGCAAGTATCTGTGGACTGACGATGCTGGTTGGAAAATTAAAACTAAGAAAAAGAATAAAACAGTCAACACTGTGTGAAATCAATGAGCATGTCTGGGTTGTTTTTCGCATAAACTCTTAAATAATAAATACTAAGTGCAAAATATAAATTCCTTTCACAGCTGCTGTTAAAGCCTCATCCAAGCAAAGCTTCCTCTGCTGTTTCTCTCACAAGGAAAAAAGATGTTTGAGTATAAATCCGTGCTCACCAACATAACCCTCGGTTGTGAGTATAATACGCAGCCTACTAAAGCATGCATTTCCTGCCCATTAGGTGACTCAGTGAGAAATCCTTTCTGTAATATCACTCATGAAAGCCAACTATCTTATGAATAATTTACATTGCTTGCACGTGTCAAACAGAAAGTGACTGGCTAGCTGACTGATTTGCTTCTTGGCTGGACTCAGGGTTCAGGACTGCAAGCTAATACCCAGCTTGGCTGCTGTCAAGCCACACAACACCGAGCCTTGTGAGCATCAAACACCATATGTGCATGACACCAGGCTTGTGCAAGAATTCACAAGGTACCACATACACATCCAAACACTGCACACCTCAAGCAAATGTGAGGGCTTCAACCATATGCACACGAACAGAAACATCAAACTAGCACAAAATTATTCCATAAATAAAACTCACTAGATTGGGGTAAAAGTGTGAACTCTAATACATTATGTATGTGGGATAAATCACGACTGTGTCCCTTCCCCAAATGATGAACTGCTCCCCTCAGGCTGGGCAAGCTGGAGTACATATGCTGAGGAAGCAACCTTAGCTCGGGACTGCTGCAGTCCCACTCCTCTGCTCACATTCAGTCCACTCAAACCTGATCGTGCAGGTTTTGCGTATTTTGGTCAAAACTGTGCTTACTGTTAACAAGAGATTGCACAACCCAGACCAGTTTTGAACACTACAAATTGCACAATTGAAGCGTGCATGCACACTTATCTGAATAAGGGAGATGATACATCAATTCAAGACAAACAAACGGGGACTGAAAAATGACTAGAAGAAACAGGCCACAACTGGTGGGAGTCAAGCTCATACACTGAGCAGATCTCATCCAAGTGCTAATGCATGGTGTCATCCAACTTTAAACTTAGCAGTGCTACCATACAGGTGTGCTTTCATTATAACCTGAAAATAATTGGATCCACTTGGAAATCCTTTGTGGTTAAGGCGAGATTAGATGGAAAATAGAGGCACAACATAAATGTGACAAACTGTTAGCTGCACTTCCTGACCACTAGCATAATCTCACCAAGACTTTGTACTGGGGAGCAGGTTTAAGACCAGGTAATGTCTGATCCAGTGGCACCTTGCATTCGTTTCTCACGAGCACCTCTGTTGGGCAACTCTTAGACGAGGCGAGAGCTGCAGCGCATGTGGGAAAGCTTTAGAAGGATAAAGCCATTGTCACACATACGGGGTCTTTTCTGACAGATAAAGCAAACTCTGCTGCTGAATTGCCACGAAATGGTAACCAGTCAGTATGATGTCTAGAAGTGCGCATTTTAGAATACCACAGGTAAATTTGGAGCAAGCAAGTTTTCAAATAGTCCAGATATATCAAAGCAGAAAAACATCTACTGAGTTCAATGCACTGTAATGATACTTCCTTAGCACTTCTCATAAACAACTCAGACATTGAGCCTGAGGGGGGGGAAGGGAAAGCATATGCACACAGGACTGTTAATTCCTGGAACTCCTCTCTAGTCACTAATAAAGATAAACCCTCTCGATATTAGAGAAATGGGTTCATTTGACAAACCAAGAAATGTTTTTGTCACCTTATCATATCGTGTTTTCATCACAGAGCAAGTGTTCCTTCTTTCACACATCTGATAACCTTTGAACCAACAATAAAAGCTCTTATGTCACACAGAGCCACACTTCTTCACATTTTTAAAGAACACCGACGTGCCAGAGTGGTGTTTGTTTGCTGTGTGGCTTCATGTTTTGTGTTGAGCATGTGAACGTGTTTCAGAGAAGTTTCCTTACCCGTCTCTGCCATCTCATGCAGCGTGATCATGGAGTAAGGAGGCTCTTGATCACTGAAAAACAAGGCAGGGTTTTTTGTTTTACATCTTTTTCACTTTACCCAAAAATAACAAACTTGGGCGTGCACAATTAACACAAATGTAGTGATGCTCACTAAAAGCACTCAACCAGCCAAAGTGTTTGTGACCCTGTGATCACAGCATCTGGAATAATATCAACAAATGACTCATGTCTTTGTGCGTTTCTGTGATCACAGTAATGGATATGGACAACAGTGTTATCCTGTGGAAAGGCTGAAGCGAGTGTATAGTTACGATGTATCTGGTTCAGTGGATGTAACTGATGATAACGCTTCTGTTACCATTACTTATTGTAGCTGATCCCAAAAAAATCAAACCCACTATCACTATAGCCAGCCACAGACTCGGCTTAATTCTCAGATTTCCTACCATTACTTAGTAATACTGCAAGTGAGATGTCCTTCATTAATTAGTCATATTGTTTGCACACTGTTGGAATAATGTTTTAAACACAGCCATTTTCAAACTGAGATTATGCAATAGTATTTTAAGTCTACTTTATTTTGCCAATACATTGATTTTAAGACAAACAGTGAACCTCTAAAACACTGTTAGTCCGATTTTTTGCAGCTTATTGTCGATTCATACATGTACTGTTATCCTGAAGAGGTTTAGTTGTGTGGCAACACGCTGTTAAAACAGATGTCAGTGATGTTAAATGAAAAATCTGGAAATAAAAAAAAAAAAAGGGCAACTGAACAAGTGGCTGAATCAGACAGAACGTGCTGAAGCCAACATCAAACCACCGAGAGGCTGTGATGGAAAATCTGTTCTGTTGCTTTAGGTACAAACTGAGATGTCTGTACAGAAGGCTTTTAAACACGATGAAAGAAGAGTTAATAAAGACACCGTGGCTGTTATTTGGTGTATACTAAGAGACAGTTGCACAGATCTGTGACAACAGTCCCAGTGGACAGTAAAATCTCTCTTTTCTGATTATCTACAATCACAAGGAAATCAGTTTTCCTTGGGAGCATCTCTTCTTATTGCATGAACTTCAGAAACATGACTCACTATACTACGCCTCAAAATGCAAGTTGGTTCTTCAACGACAACAAATACGTGGAGGAGGTGGCACGGGCTTATGGGTTCTACTTATTCAAAGCCACAGGTTCTACAAATTAATGCTTGCAACTGCAGCTCAGGGCTCTTAATCACCTTTGTTTTAAGCAGGCTTTTGTGTGAAAGTATTGATTTTTTTCATGAATAAGCTGCAGCTGCATGCTTTATTATTAATCTTTTCTTTATGAAAGATCCCAATTTCCTGAAAAAAAGAATAACTCCCCAGTTTATTGTTATAATACCACAAGAATAACACTGAACCCTAATTGACACCTAATTGTTAACCCACTGTTAACATTATAGGTTGACGTTATTTAAAAAAAACAAAAAAAAAAACCCAACAAGAATGAGGATAGACAGAATTTAAGAGCTGTAGACCAAGAACACCCTAAGTTTTCATTTTGTTGAGCTTATTGAATAGTTGTTGGCATTTTCCAACTTACTTGTCTACAAGTGTCCTGATGACAGCCAGCGTGTCCAGCACCAGGCCATCTACATTCTGCTTTTTCCGTCTCGGCTCATGAGGCCCTCGACCTCGACGAGGTGGCCTAACCGGGTCCCTGGGCCGACTGCTCCGAGCCTCTGCGGCGTCAGCACCCACACCTGCACTGTGATCCACCCGCCTAGCTTGTCCTCGGGTTGCTCTCGATGAACCATGATGTTGGTCCTCTAAGTCACTATCTTCTCGACATACACAGCTATTACCCATGGTTCCAGAGTTGGAGACCAAACTGGCAAGTGTTTCCCAGAATGGATGAAGGGACTTTGAGGAAGAGAGGAAGAGCAGAACCTGTACAAGGCTCCTGCAGGCACAGAAAGTAATCCAGGTGGCTACTATCATATCATTTGGAGAGCTTGGTTTTGGGGGGTTCTTGTCCCTGTGGGCTGGGTGGGGCCAGTGCAAAAGACCATACTGTTGCCAAGCAGAGACTTGTGTGGGACTAGTGATAAATGGCTACTAAAATGAACCAGAAAAGGTCTGGTGATGCAGCCAGGAAAGCTCGGAACATCACAGGCAACCAAAGGCTTCAGTCAACCTCTCATCCAGGACTGGATGGATCGCTGTGAAGGCAACACAAACACAAAACAGAAAGCCTTTAGCTCAGCTGCTTACTCAATCTGTCAGTGCCGCCAGCAGCAAATATTTAGACTTGCGGAAACGACACACCCCGTACGATAAATGTCAGCAGATTACAGAAGTTAATTATTGAAATTAAACATGACTCCCCTTTCTCTCAAACAAAAGCGCCACTAAACGACGTTCAGTTGTTTCAATCTATAGCTGTGCTGCTCAATTAAAAAGGCACAGTGTATCACACGGAGCAACTAAACGATGACACATTTTAGTATTGTTGACAAACAAGAGCTTTTCAGTTAGCTGACTTGCAAGCTAGCCACCCACAAAGCAAGCAGTTGTCACGTTAAAAAGGAAACTCAAGTTTCCCGAACTTGTTCTTATCATTAAAAGCCACAATGGTTCCATTTTGAACTAAAGACATACTTACGGTGCTATCTTGTAAAAGAAACACCATTCAAAGCGCAGTCGAGCCAGACCAAAGTAGTTAACAAACCAGAAAGCTAACAAGGTAGCTGCGTTGTGTATGAGCTAGCCTCCGAGCTGTTAGCTTCGATAGCTGGACCCTCCTCCGATTCTCCCGTCGGACTACACAAGTTAGGTAACGAGAGGAACAACAAGCTGAGCGTGGTACTCGGGTATCAGGACACATTTACACCACCCGTCTATATTCCGCCGTAACACACCTTCGCTGAAGTAAAACAGCAACACGGTCATAGCGTACACATTTTAAACGACGCTACTAAGGAGAGCTAGCTGGTCGCTAAGTTCCGTAGCGCTGCCAGCTAAAAGGTTGGTCATCGTCAGCTGTGGATGCGAAGGCGAGACTGGAGGAGAAGGGAGGATTTTTCTCTCTAATGTTACGTGAACATAGGAGTTCTGCCTGATGGTTTTACTTTTTCTCTTAAAACGTGTATGAGGAAATAAGAAATATATGAATTAATTTGTTAATTTTAAAAGGAAATTGATTGCGCAACACAAAGTTCAAAGAATTAAAGAAATGGCATGCTACACCTGAGTTCAGTACAGCAGAGGGGGACTATAAGACTAGTAACCTTTAAATTTGTACACATTTTATTCGTTCAGCCTGAAACATTTACTAAAGCGACCTCCCCCCCCCCCCCCCTTCAAAAAAAGAAAGAAAGAAAGATTTCTTTTTTTTTTACTCTCCGAAACATCAATTAAGGATATTTTATCTATTTAGTAATGCCAGATGGACTACCTATGTGTTTATAATTCATCTGAGATTCAAAATAATATATACATATAATATTAACAGGTTAAGACAAATAAATCAAACGCCTAGGAAAACAAAAACATCAACACACATGCTAAACAATGTCATTTAATTTCACACATGTGCAGATATTGAATACTGCAGTCGTTACATTTGAGATTTATGCTTTTTTTTTTTTCTCAAAAGACATGTCCTGCAAAGCAGTCACACACCCTGCTGCGGTCCAGGGATGTATTAAAGGAGTAGTTCCGATACATCCCGGTCTTCCTCAGCACTTCGGTGAACCTTTGTGATTTGGGGTGGAAAGTGCACGGAGAGCTTTCAAAGGTTGGAGGGAGGCGACCGTAGTCGGCGGATGTGGTCTTATACATGATGCTTTCGAGCTTTGTTCCCCTGCAGACATCAGATCTTTTGCTTGTGGAGTAATCACGCAGGTAAAAACTGGGTTTCCGGGACTGGTTGATGTTTTGGCATCTTCTGCCTGCTGCTCTGGAGAAACAGGCATTGTTGATCTTCTATTAAAAAAGGAGGGGGAAACGATTTAGGAGATTATTTACACATTTACATTAAATGGCCTGTATTTATATAGCGCTTTTCTAGTCCCTGAGGACCCCGAAGCGCTTTACATATCCAGTCATCCACCCATTCACACACACATTCACACACTGGTGATGGCAGCTACATTGTAGCCACAGCCACCCTGGGGCGCACTGACAGAGGCGAGGCTGCCGGACACTGGCGCCACCGGACCCTCTGACCAGGTGTATATGGACTCACTAATGGTCAATGGAGAGTTGCATATAGCGGGTATTAGTTTTACACGGATTTAAGATTATATATATATTTCAGTGATTACAGTTAAATTATTTTCGAGCATAGAGCGGTCCAGCGATCTTTGTGATTCATGTCTATTCATTTCTTTTAACTTCACTATCTAGCGCTAAATTTCGCGCCACTGGGTTTTTTATTGCTTGACTGAAGCGTTTTTGTTTCCAAACTACGATGTGATTCATATAATTACCTTAGATTCGTGAACTCAACAAAATACACCGACTGGTCACGGGTTGAAGACAGAGAAACATGTGGTTACCATAGCAATGACGACCCAGGCGCTTGACCTCACATAATCTCACGAGACTTTCAAAGAAAGCGCGAGAGGATGGGGCTCCGACTCTTTTGTACTGGAAAAAAAAGACTCTGTCATCAGCAGCTGGACATAGTTTAAAGAAATAATTACAGCTACTGACAGATATTGGCCCTGGCAAAAACAAAAAAACAAAAACAAAAAAAACGTAATAACTTGCCTATATTTCCGAACTTTGGTTCAAATCTACCTTAAAATATTTAATAGTATCCCCCAGCTCGCTATACTAATAATTAACATTCAAGTATGAGCACTATTTTCCATCAGGTACCTTAAACACAGCACCACCTTATTCCTCTCTTCAAACATCTCCCTGAACTCATACAAGAGTCTCATATGTCAGATGCAATGCTGCTAACTGCCTCCTCTCAGACATGCTCTGGACAGTCTCACAAGCAAACACTAATCAGAGTAAACCAAGTTATATCACAACAGAAAGAGGCCTGATTAGAAGACTGAGAAGAAGAAAAATACAGATTAGATGTGAAAAGCAGGTTTTTTTGCTTTGCTGTCAGAGATAAAAATCAGGCAGTCTGGCGGTCAAATAAAGGAAGACATAAAAAACAACAATAACAAGAAAGCAAAAGAAACCACAGTGTGTGGTCACTGTTTGATATTGCATGATCTTAAGTGCAAAATGATCATTGGAGAAAGAGTGACGGTATGTGTTGCTCACCAAAATATAGAACATACCACAACCCATGGGGCACTAAATAACCATAGACACACATGCATGCATGCATGTGGTAGAAGACAGAGACATGAAACTCAACTAATCGTCACTTTAAATATGTGGGAGGGCTGTGACAAAGCAAGGACTTGAATGGTGACTGACCATTTTCTGCATACAGTTTTTGGGTCCCAATGATCAGTGAATCAGGTCATTTAGATAATACTCTAAAATAACTCCTGATGGGCTAAACTTGCCTTCAGGTGGCATACAAGGCTGTATACTGTGGAGCATAAATGCCACGTAGCAGTCTAAATGTTGCTCTTGTGTAAGTTCACATATTTGGACCAATGGCTGTACATAAACATACATATATACTGCATATAATGTACTGCATATATACAATCTGTGGTTTCGAGAAATTGTATTGGATCTCCTGCTAGTACAACTCGTCAGATTCGTATTTTTCCACTGCACGTAAAGGCGCCATTCACTGCGTCATCAGCACGTGACAACGCGGTACGTAGAATTACTGCGACTGCTCTTCTCAAACAGCAACGGCGTTGTTCTCGGACGTAAATCTGGGGTCCTGTTGCTCCCCTGCTGTTGAGGCTAGTTGGCAGCCGGCTGTGTCTCGGCGGGAGGATGGACAGTGAAATCCAACGGGATGGGAGAGTCCTGGATCTCACCGATGATGCCTGGAGGGAAGACAGGCTGCCGTACGAAGACGTCACCATTCCTTTGGTAAATGTTAATGCTAAGGTTGACGTCAACAAGGACCAACGATTACAGGAAGCAGAAATGTTTTTGCAGGATGTTCCCGAGCAGTGCAGTTTATGAGAGGACACTCCATAATATCCAGCTTTTTACTTAATGCCAGTGACTTAGATTAGCGCTTTATTAATCCCTCGGGTGGGTTCCTCCGGGAAGTTCAGTTTCCAGTAGCAGAGCACCGACAGAAGTTGCATATTACAGAGTTCGAGTATAAAATAGAAAAGAATGAGAGGATATGAACATAAGCTTAAATATACACGTGGTTTTGGGGGGGATTTTGCTTTGGTATACTTCTCTGTCCTGTTCTCGGTTTACAGAAGATGACATGCGCATGCTTACCTGCTTTCTACTATATACACTCATTAGATACACCTTGCCAGGGTTAAAGCCTTCAGAACTTCTCTGATTTGTCATAGCGAAGATTCAACAAGATGCTGGAGACATTTCTGAGATGTTGAACCATGTTGACATGATAGCATCACGCAGTTGCTGTTGATTTGGCCGTCCACGATCCAGATCTCCTACTTGCACTACATGTGCCGTGAACACATCGTGTACAAGAAACAACAACATTTTTCCAGTCTTCTGTTCTCAAAGTTTCATGAGCCTGTGTGAATTGCGGCTTTAGTTGACCGGAGCAGCACCCTGTGTGGTCTTCTGCCGCCGTAGTCCATCTGCTTCATGGTGTGTTGTGCGTTCAAAGCTCTGCGTGCTTGGATTGCCTTCACCTTCCTATCAGCTTGAAACTGTCTGCACATTCTCCTCTGATCTCTAACGTCAACAACACATTTTCACCCATTTGTATGTTACCTTAAACACAAGTTACGGTTTTGTGGGAAAATCCCAGCAGATCACCAGTTTCTGATGCTGGTTTGTTGCAGAGTGAGTTGCCTGAGGCTGAGCAGGACAACGGGGGATCGACAGAGTCTGTGAAAGAGCAAGAGATGAAGTGGACAGACCTCGCCCTGCAGAGCCTACATGAGAACACACCGAGCACCGGAAGCTGAAAGACTAACACAGAATCGAACTGTACAAATAAAATGCACAGACGTGGTGCGCGCTGTGTCGGTTTTGACACACAAATGTGCCGTATCTTCTCTGCGCATTGGCCTTTTACTTGGTGGTGAACCATCCATCACTCTTATTGTAAAACATAAACATTGTTTATACTTTATGAAACTGTGATAAATGTGAGCACATAGTCCTCCTGTTTGTGTGTGCATTTATTAAACCACGGCTCTTATTTCTGCAGCGTTATAACGAGGAGCCCTGGCTTTGAACAGATCTAGTCTCCTGAGTTTGTAACAAAATCATCTCACCTTTACCCATGCAGTAATACCAGAGTTATCTTGCAGGTAGTCTGGCCACTGGATGTCGCTGTACTATAAAAGCAGCCAAATTATTGGGGGAAAAGGTTTGCTCTTATGCTTAAACATGCTTAAAACACATCGATTCAACTTTCAGTTTTCTGCTACAGTTGTGTGTAACACCAAATCTGTGCTCGTTACATTCACACCAGTAGTACTACTTAACCCTATGACACTGTTGCTAACATACAGTGTGTTATTTTGCTATGCTTTATCATTTTCATCTTCTGCCTGGGTAGTATCTAGCTAGGGCATCTGCATATTTCGTACCGGCTGTCTCTTTCTTCTGCTTTAGACCATTGGCAGCATAATAGCCTGTTAATGTCCAGAAATGGCTCTCTGCTCTGAGCGTCCATCATCACTGTGTCTGTGCTGCTTCTGTCGTCAGCTTGCGAATCTGGTCACGGGGTCCCTTCCCCAGCAGCGCCGATGGGTGTCGGTACGAGCCCCCCAGGCGATCCCAGAGTGTGAAGTATTGTCCGTAATTGTAGTTGAAGTACAGGTGATGATCAACATGGTGAGCAGCGCCGTTAATCAGAAATATCAGCGGGCCTGGAAGGCGGTAGTCTCCATCGTGGATGGAAATGGTCCAGATGTTGACGAAGACAAAGAGGGAGAGGTAAACCACCTGCAGTTTAAAATAACTCATGTCAGCTGAAGCATTTCACAGTTTGAAGACAACGGTGCACTTTCTCAGTTTCAGTGTATCAACATACACTTTGTCCAGTCACTTAGACGTTTTACTGCAGTTTAATAGCAATAACTTAATGCAGCCCTGATTTACAGCAGGGTTGTCAAACACCAGGCCTCGGGGGCCGGTGTCCTGCAGGTTGTAGATCTCACCCTGGGTCAACACACCCGAATCACATGATTAGTTTTAATACCAGGCCTCTGGAGAACTTCAAGTCATGTTGAGGAGGTCATTTAGCCATTTAAATCAGCTGTTATGGATCAAGGACACGTCTAAAACCTGCAGGATCCTCGAGACCTGGAGTTGCCAACCCCTGGTTTACAGCGTGGTCCTCCTTTGACCTCAGATCGGGCATGTCAGTATTTCCTAGCAACAGCAGATGATATGCACCTTGTGGAGAGGGAAGATGAAAGGGTAGATGTGGTACGGTAAGCTCTGCAGGAAGCCATCGAGTGGGTGGAAGGCATGGCTGGCAAACGGTGTTGGTATCTTGAAGGTATGGTGCTGCTTATGTAAGTGCTGAGGGGGAGAAACACAAATGGTGTCAAGTCTGAGATTTTCTTTTAATGAGAAGATACACAAGACAAACGAAGTCAAAGCTGTGGAGTTAAAATAACTATAAGAGTAAAAGAATATTCTACATGTTTCCTTCGGCTGCTCGGTGTTTTACTGTGTGCTAAACCGAGCCTGTAACCTGTTTGGTAAAAACAACTGTGAGCATAAAAGTGCTGAGAAGCCCAAAAGGTCATGAAATCATTGTTTCATGGGTTCATTGGTACAGGTGGACCCTTTTATTATAGGAAGCCACCCACTGACAAAGGTAACTGACTGCCTGGGGCAAGTGTAGGTTGGCAGTACAGATGCTGAAGCTCACCTTGTAAATGTTCTGATGGTGCATGGCGCGGTGAATCCAGTATATACACATGTCAGTAAAGAACAAGAAACCAGTGATGCTTACGAACAGTCGTGACCAGCCTGGAGCAGAGACATACATGAGTTTTCATTTTTGCAGACTCTTTGTGGGTTGGTTAGTTTCAGTGAGTTAATCGCACGCAGCCTTAAAGTGGACACGCTCATTCACTTCATACTTGTCCTTAGTGCAGCCACTCGCCTCTCCCTGAAAAAAGCACTTTAAATCTCATCCCTTCACTTTAAGGCAGCTGTCTTTTGATTGGCTGCCTCACAGAAGCACCCGATTGTGCTAAACACAGCTGTGCAGCTGAGATGACCATATGAGGGATATCTACTCACTATACCGTTGTTTACAGCGCTGTCTTCTTCTTTTTTCACTTAAATGACCTCGGACAAGAAAGCCTAGTTTCTGCTGTTCAATACTGAAGAAATTTAAACTTCTTAAAATTATGCAAAATTGCAGAATATTTTTCAGGTTATCTGCTATAAAAAGCCAGACCAGGAAAATCTCCCTCATGTTTTTCTGTGTTTTTATTCTCAGTTACTTTCACCCAAAGGCGTCTGCTGTGATGTTCACAATTCTGATGAAGTCTCAAATTCAAATTTTATTTGTCACGTACACAGTCATACACAGTACGATATGTAGTGAAATGCTTGGACAACTGCTCGTGACCTAAAGAAAACAAAAAAGGAAAAGGCTATGAATAAGATAGGAAATAAATATGAAAAATTAAAAAGGGTAAATTTAACTAGGAAGGAATAAAATATAAATTAAGGTTAAAAATGAAATAACTGTACAACACAAATTAGAATGAAGGGTAAATTTAACTGGGAAGAATAAGATAAAGATAAATATATAAATTAAAGTTGAAAATAAAATAACTGTACAACAAAATACACAATACACAATATAGAACTATATAAGAATGTATGAAGGAATATAAATATAAATAAATATATACACAATAACAGCAGCTGTACAAGTATTAACCGGAAATGAAGAATATAGTGACCAGTGTTGTGCAAAACCAAAGTCCAGAAAGTCCAGTGTGTGTGTAAGAACCATATGTGTGGGTCAGTACTGTGTGGTGGTGTGATTGAGAGACCGTATCGCCTGCGGGAAGAAGCTCCTCCTCAGTCTCTCTGTGTTGGTCTTCAGGGAGCGGAATCGCTTTCCTGACCTCAGCAGAGAGAACAGTCCGTTGTTGGGATGGCTGAGGTCCTTCACCATCTTCCTGGCCTTGGTCCAGCACCGCCTGCTGTAGATTGAGTGCAGGTCAGGGAGCTCGGAGCGGATGGTGCGCTCAGCTGACCGCACAACCCTCTGTAGAGCTCGTCTGTCCTGCATGGTGCTGTTCCCGAACCAGGTTAAGATGTTTCCCGCCAGGATGCTCTCTATGGTGCAGGAGTAAAAGTTCCTGAGCACCTTGGAGGGCAGTTGGAAGTCTCTCAAGCGTCTGAGGTGGTAGAGACGCATGACGGGCCTTTTTCACCACAGTGTTGATGTGACAGGACCATGACAGGTCCTGCGTGATGTGAACTCCGAGGTATTTGAAGCTGTCCACTCTCTCCACTGGGCACTCGTTGATGACGGGGGTCTGGTAGTTCCTCTCCTGCTTAGTGCTGAAGTCCACTATCAGCTCCTTTGTCTTACTGACGTTTAGAAGGAGGTTGTTCCTCTGGCACCAGTTCTCCAGATTCCTAATCTCCTTCAGGTAGGCCGTCTCGTTGTTATCAGAGATCAGGCCCACCACGACGGTGTCGTCAGCAAACTTGATGATGGTGGTGGAGCTGGTAGTGGCCACACAGTCATATGTGTACAAAGAGTACAGCAGGGGGCTCAGAACACACCCCTGGGGGGCTCCAGTGCTGAGAGTGGTGGAGGCTGAGACATGTCCGCCCATCCTTACTGCCTGTGGTCTGCCAGTTAGGAAGTTGGAGATCCACAGACACATAGATGAGCTGAGTCCCAGATGCTCCAGCTTGGTGGTGAGTGTGGAGGGAATTATGGTGTTAATGGTCTCATGTGTATCAGTGCTGATAAATGATCAGAATTATAATATTTCTGACTGTCTGAGGCTAAGTTGAATCGAATCAGGACTTTGAGAACCAGAATCGAATGGATTATAGAAATCAGTGATGATACCCAGCCCTAGTGAGCAGCCTGGGCCCGACAGAGTGGATGTAGCTGTAATAAGAAAAGATGAAAAGAACTATTGATAACTTTTTTGTTAAGTTAAGGCCTGATCCGTCTGAAATTCATAGCCAGCTCTGACACGGTGTCATCAATCTTTGAATGCTGAAAAAGCAGCAGTGTGTCCAGAAAACACATTATATGCTGCAATAAATGCCCGAGTGTCCCCTCTAACACTGCCTGTCAGCACCAGACAGCAGCAAACAGGTCGTCAGAGGAGCCAAGATGATGATTAAGTTTAACATTTTCTACAATATTGACAAAGCACTTTAAGCACAAGTTTGTTAGTTAATAATTTAGAAATGAATATTGTCTGTATGGACTCCCCCCCAAAGAAAGTGCACATGTAAAACTGCGGTGTTAAGCGATGCGGTTGAAAAATTTGAGTGCGCCTAACTTTTGTGCCGATGCGCCTAAATTTTTAAAGTTAGGCGTACCGGTGCGCCCATGGCAAGAGGTTAGTCTAGAGCCCTGATATATATGCCTGCATAGATTGTGCTATTCTTGTGTATTGTCTGTCTTTTTTACTGTTTGTTTATAATGGAGCACTGTAATGAAAAATAATTTCCCCCAGGGATCAATAAAGTATTCTGATTTGAGCCTTTAGCCATATATAAGCATTTTAACAGTACATTCATTAAATACAGTAGGCTCACTTGGAGAATCTCATTTTTAGTTTTACATTAACTGGAGCGAACATGAATCGTGTGCTATAATATGTAAATAACCGTTTTCTCACCCAGGGAGTTTTCACTGACGCTGTCATGAAGTTTGCTGTGTCCTCTGACTTCCCAGAAGAAAAGCACCACGGTGGGAAAACTCATCCAGAAGATGGAGACTGTTCCCAGCTGGATCTCCTTTCTTACTTGATGCTGTTAGTGAAGCAAATGCACAAAGTTGGGGTTTAGGACAACCTTGGTTTGGAAATGGTACCAAAGCTGGCTATCCATCCACTGGCCTACCTCAATAAACTGCGGATGCTTCATGAGCACATGGTCAAACACATAGTAGAAATTAAGAACACCAAAAACCAGGTAAACCAGCAGAGCTCCCACGTTGGTTACCACCCACAGGCTGATAATCTGGCGCACAGCCCAGCTCTCAGGCCACGAGACCGGGTAAATGTAAGGAGTGAAGAAGTAACAGTCAGCTATGTCCAGCACATGATCCATGGCAGCCTGTGAAGACAGTAAATGATGTCCCGTAGTGCTCTTAGCATACATGAGAGAAAGCAAACCAATCACAGCCCGCTTTGCTAAAATTAGGTGGAGTGGAAACGTTATTATGTTTTAGCGAGAATTGAATAGCCTAAGCTCTGTGGTGTGCACGGCACACACTCAGGGCTGCTTCAGCCAGAGCTTTGAAACTGGATAATCTGTATCATTGCTGCTCTGTCAGAGAGCACATGTACACATTTCACATTTAAGTGCATGAAATACTGCAAAAGGAGCAACAATAATAAGACAGTGAAATATAAGTTTGTGCTGGTACAAAATCCAACACTGCCCCTGCGAGGCCGATGCATAAAACACTCAGCTGTTCACTTTTAAATCTTTTATTTGAACTTTTTCGTTACGTACCTGCTCCCGCGTCCCTGCATGACTACAGAAGTGCTCTCAAGCTTGTTTCTATAGTAATCGAAAAGCTGTTCTGGATCTGTTTGGTTCAACATGAATCATGAGCATTTCTCACACCTACTCACCCTCTTCACTCAGTGACTGAAAACAAACCGTTGTTTAGTGCACCTACTGCAGCTTCATCTCAGCGGTCAGTTTAAGAAAATCCACCTCAACTTTCCAGGTTTTATCTCATTACTATTTAAAAATTATTATTAGTGAAGCGTTTATTGCTGAATTCATCATTTGTGCTGCACTGACCTGCTTGAGGATGGGCTCTGTCACCAGATTAGAAAGAACCTTCCTAGAAAGTTGATGAGTGCTCACTCCTCCTCTCACAGTCTGTCCAACAGCAGATCATCTGGAACAGAGAACACGTGGCCCATACGGAAAACTGCTCCGCTGCTAACATGGGTTTACCGTGCAATAGGCCGCCGTCTCCACAAACTGCAAGAGAAGCTCCGGTTTTCTTTCTTTTTTCTTTTTTTTTTGCGAGGTAGTTGACACCGTGTGCTCAGTGGATCCAAGAAGACACAGACATGCCTGTCCAGGTGGAACAAGATCCCAGCATGCTCAGCAAATAACTCAGAGCTCAGCGGCAGGAGCGCTCCTCAGCTGACACCATTTTCTCACAATATCTGTGCTCATTGAATTAAATATTATATATATATTCTACACAGTTGTGAAGAGTGCATTGTAGCAACTCAGCTGTATTATCTCAGTTTTAATGCAAAATAAAATCCCTTGCAATGGTCAGCATGTCATTTTTGCGTGTGTGTAGTGGATGTACCCTGTCCCATGCTGGGCTTGGAAGGATCAAATATAGCAGCTCAGCTGTCTGCCCTGTACACACACACACACACACACACACACACAGAGTTAAGAGAAGCGAGTCTTGCTGGGAGCATGCCTAACACTTTGTTAGAATATCCCATCAGTGTAAAGTATAGTCTGTCTGTCGGCATTACTGACCTTTGACATAAACACACATCTTGGTGGACAGAACATGCAGACAGTCACTGAGTATGAAATTTAAGACAGCGTAATCACTTCTCAGAATGAGCAGAGCAACACTTGCAAAGAGGCTCTGACCAGGACAGGGGATGTTGTTATGCCACTTCCACACTTTCCTCTCCTATAACTGCTCGTTAACGTGTGTCCATCACATTAAGTCAGGCATTCTAGTTCAAATAGAGCACGTAAGGCCACCTGTGCCATTTGAATTTGGGTTGTTGGTATCTGCCTTTAAATATTTTAACACCAGTTACTTACACTTGCAGCTGAGTTGTTTCATATTATGCATTCTTGTCCACCAGTAGATACACGTGTAACTGTCTCCCTCTAGCGCTCCCGGACTGAAACAGCACCTTCAGGGAGTAATGGACAGTTCTCACATCCAGGGTCTAAAATGAATCATGTACAAAAACAGGAACTACTGCATATTTATCCAAGCAGTGTATTCATAAAGGATGTATGACAGGTTATTTACATGTAAGGTGGAACTTTTTTCTTCTCTCTTGTTTTACTTTGTGTCACGTTTGCTGTTAAAATGCTGGCTTTTCATAAAACATGGCTAAAATTTCAAATAATGAAAATGTTCTGCTCCTGGCTCCATATCATGTGGCGGGGGTGGCAGAGCAGGCCAGCCACTAATCAGAAGGTCAGTGGATCCCAGGCTGCCTCCTGACTACATGCCAAATATCCTTGGGCAAGATACTAACCCCATGTTTGTCTACTGGTGGTGGTCAGAGGGCCCGGTGGCGCCAGTGTCCGGCAGCCTCGCCTCTGTCAGTGCGCCCCAGGGTGGCTGTGGCTACAATGTAGCTGCCATCACCAGTGTGTGAATGTGTGTGTGAATGGGTGGATGACTGGATGTAGTGTGAAGCGCTTTGGGGTCCTTAAGGACTAGAAAAGCGCTATACAAATGCAGGCCATTTACCACATCATGTTTCAGTGAGGGGATGGCCTTATTTTGATGACATGACTATATTGATGGTGTGATCTCAGTCACACAGCTGTGGCTAGGAGAACAAAAATCCCTAAAAGCAGCTGTTCAAAACTTCTGCTTGTAAGAAGCAGCCAATCAAAAGGACGTAGGCCAAACAGAGGCGGAGTTATAACAGCTTGTTTCAGACAGTGGCTGAAACACTGCACTGCTGCACTGACATTTTTAAACCGTAAATAATGCAAACGTGTTTTTCAGTGGCAGTGTTTCATTTAAGGGTTAACAAAACATGTATGACCCAGCATGGCGTAGTCTTGGGGTCCTGGGAGAGAGAAGGACGTCTGCTAAGTCTAATTGTTGAATGTTGTCATTGGGCTTCTTAAATTTGTAAGTCTGAGTTCAAGACATTCCTTTGATCCTGACCACCTCTCCAGCCACTCTGTGCTGGGGGAGGTTTTATTGTAGAAGAAGCTTCTGTTGTAAGCTTCCTGCTTTTATGACCCTTTTGGTCAGCAGGAGGTCACACACACACACACACACACACACACACACCCCACACACACACACACACACACACACACACACACATTCTTGCACATGCATATACGTGCTTACACATACACACATATAGTGCCTTGTCTTAGAAGGGGGTTTTACAGAGGGAGGTGCTTGTGCTGTGATGTGTATTGTAACAGTTTGTCAATAAATAGCTGTGAGGGAAGCTGCTCTTGGAAGGATTTTGGGCTGGAGACGGGAGCGTGGGCTCCAAGAGCTGGTTCTTGACCAAAGCGTCCCTCGTTAGCGAGTGAAAAACCGCTTGAAGATGTTCTGTTATGTCTTGTTTTCTTCATGATGAATAAGTCTCTAAACTAGCCGGGCTTGTGGAAACACAGACCCAACAACGTCATTCATCCTCACAATCACACAGTGACCAGTTTAGAATCACCAGTTAAACCAACAAACCTGTGTTTGGACTTTGCTGCTAATCACTGCACCAACATGTAACACTGCATCCCAGACAGAAGCATTCAATTTGTTCCAAGTCCTATAAAGTGTCCTCTGTCCCCAGAGACATTTTGGTCTGATGACTCTAAATGAAAAGTTGTGCAGGCACAGAAGGTTGTGTGAACATAGCTGGGACTCCACTAGAGTCCAAGAAAACAAAAAGAAACGGGGGAAAGCACAGTAGTTCCCCTCTCTGTTTTCACCAATGTTTTTGGACAGTCAGCTCAGGTAATTGAGTTATTTAAAGTGTCTTCTTCTTCTTGATTTGTAGGTCTGTGTTAGCAGACCGGAGTACTCTGCCCCTCCCCAACCCTGGATGAACGATAGGAAATGGATGGACTGAATCTAATTGCAGTATTATTATATTATGACCGATTTTTCCCCTCATAATTGCCATTTTCAGCTGCTTCGCTAAGAAGAGTAGCACTCATCTCTAAAGCTCGTTTCGCTCGTCGCTCCCTGCGGTTTACATCGGCTGACACACTCTTTCTAGAAACTACATGTTAATGGACAAACACTCCAGTGACTGTGTCGAGTGCAGTGAATGATGCTGCCTTCACGCTCCCGTCATGGAAAACCTAAGAATTGTAAATACAGATCGTCTTTATAGACAAATAGACATAAAAAACTAAGCAACCAAGTGCGAAGCATCCAGGATTACGGAAGCCGAGATTAATTTTGTTCTGTTCTATTGTACTCACACATACCGACAAAGCACTTCTTTTAAAGCTCGCCTATTCTGTTTGATTCTTTATTGTTGCGCACCGATGTTTCCCCACGGATATTTTATGCGTTGTGCGATTTTGGTGTTTAATTTCTTGTAAGACTGCTATTATTAAAAAAATATATATTGTGTAACAACAATGCACAACAATTTTCTCTGTCCTCTGTGGGGAGACGCGACGTCTCACGTGCCATATGCACACGGCTCGCTGCTGAATCCGGTATTTCCGATAGCACACGGTACGTGAACGCAGCATATTACAATAGCCTGTTTGCTTCGGTTTGCTCACGAGCGGCCGGGTGCAGCTCGACACCGACGGCAGACAGACGCCAGCTGGTTTGCACCGTGTGCACAGCGCCAGAAACACCCCGTGTTCTCCGCTGCAGTTGTTCAACAACATGATGACTATATTATTTTTATTATAAAAAAAAATGAGCAAAACTGAGGAGTCACACGATATATTACATGTGTTATTATTTTTTTTAATGAGCGGTTAGATTTGGATTTAGGATATTTAATGTGGATGTTTACTCCCATGAAATGATCGCACTGTCAAAATAATACCGGCATAGAGTGTATTAGTTTCAATTAATCAAGTATGAGGTTAAGTTTGTTATGAAAATACTGAACGGAAATGTTTTCTGTGAAGAATCTTCGCAGATGCTGAAAAGTTTTTTTGTAATTTTTAAAATAATAGTGTTGGTGATCATTCGTGCGCCCATCCACCCAACATCCTCTCATATTAGCTCCAAATGGTTAATATGAGAGTCACTTCCATCCATATAAAACTAAGACGTTCTGATTGGAGACCCGCACTTCATGTAGCCCATTCTACATGAATCAGTGTTGGTGAGCGTTTGTGACCGTGTGTTCACATCTCCGTGTAGCCTGAAGATGTTCTCCTCTGTTTAAATACATGAATTAATTGCATGCTTGAATTTCTCCAGGAGTTGACATTCTTATATAATGTTCAGGCAGCAGGCCATAGATCTGGCTATGAGGATCTCTCTGTTCCCGCTGCTGAAAGGTTGGACCATGCCGTGTGCACAAACCTCTTTGTAATCATTAACCACGTGATTGCGTGTAGCTTGACAGGCGTGTTTTGCACTCGGCTCTGTTGTTCCCAGGACGCTATAAAACAGCCACTCCTACACCGTCATTCACAACATTCACTCAAGTCCCGAAGACACGAGAGCAACGCCAGCATCACTCTGAACGAGCCATCAACTGAGAAATGGACCCCTGCGAGTGCGCCAAGAGTGAGTATTCCTGCCGCTGTTTAACAAGGCTATTTAATGCGCTGCTTGTTACCACATGGACCACATGAAACTCAACTGACTTTTTTTTATGTGCAGCTGGAACCTGCAACTGCGGAGGATCCTGCACGTGCACAAAGTGCTCATGCAAGAGCTGTAAGAAGAGTAAGTCTAACACCTCACAGCACAGCAAACAGTAATCTGTCGACCTGTTAATGTTACGCTCCTGTTTCTTCCCAACATGCATAGTGTGAAGATTGTGTCTTATAGTCATGCGCCATTTCTTCAAAATTCCGCATTTGATGCCATTTAAAAAAAACAAAATGCGCAGCGGCTCGAATTGCTTTAGTGAGATCTGTAGTTTTCTTTGTGTTCTGTCAGTAATGATGTCTGTCACTGCAGGCTGCTGCGACTGCTGCCCATCCGGCTGCAGCAAATGCGCCTCTGGCTGCGTGTGCAAAGGGAAGACGTGCGACACCAGCTGCTGCCAGTGAGGAGTCTGCACATCAGCTCTCTGCTGAAATTATGGAGTCATTTATTTGCCACTAATCATAAATTTACACGTCCACGAAATGGTGACGGATGATTTTGTACTTGTCTTGGGTGTCTGAAATAAACATGTTTATTGACGCTATGACCTGTCTGGTGTATTAATTCAGCTGATGTCAGTGCATCATTTCACTCTGGTCACGCTCTGTGGTACTTTGTGTAATGCTGGAATCTTCATCTTGGAATAAGGACTAAAGTTAAATTGACTCATGATTGCTACTAAACTGTGTGGCCCACTTAAAAGGCTCTTGCAGGGATGCAAATAAACTGTTCTCAAATCTAAAGTTGGAAGTCCAAATGCATTAGCTGGCGTATTAGCATTTGGAAAACTGAAGTTGTAACTTGAACTGAACAAAAGCTGCTATAAAATTAGTCCAGAACTGTTACACGTGGCTGTGAGCCAGCAGACTGAAAATGTCTGCCCCGTTTAACCAGAAATGGAATTTAAACTTATTAGCCCGTTTGCCTAGTTGAATGGGGTGGGGGCAAATACGTAATATCCTTTTTGCAGGCTCTTGATCCTTTCTTTCCCCTCACCTCCAATCATGGCCTGTTACGTGCTGGCTCAAAGAGGATCCTCCTCTGCTCTGTTACTGTAGCCCAAGGGTGGACCGGTGTCCTGCAGGTTTTAGATGTCCTTGATCCAACACAGCTGACTTAAATGACCCCCTCAACGTGAGGCCTGGTAATGAACTGAACATTTGATTCAGGTGTGTTGACCCAGGGTGAGATCTGACACCTGCCCTGGAGGTGCTTGCAAAGAGCACTATTGTTGTGAGGTAGTGTTACATACATACGTTTAATCTGTAATAAAGTTGTATTTCTTGGTTTGGGGTTGTAATAAAATCTATTTATTTTGAGTTTCGCGGAACGATCTGTGAAGGCGGAACAAATATTCGGCACTTGGGTTTCTCGCGGGAACAATATCGTCGGTGCACACAGGAACTATTGCGTTGTTTCTATTTTCTGGGCAAGTTTGGCTGTAGCGGTGTTTCTGATCCCGTCCTGGTAGTAAAATACACCCACGCGTGTGAACATGCCGAAGGTGGTTTCCAGGAGCGTCGTGTGCTCGGACACCAGAGACCGGGAGGAGTACGACGACGGAGAGAAGCCCCTCCACGTCTACTACTGCCTGTGCGGCCAGATGGTTCTGGTCCTGGACTGCCAGCTGGAGAAGCTGCCCATGAGACCCCGGGACAAAGCCCGGGTGATCGACGCCGCCAAACACGCTCACAAGTTCTGCAACGTGGAGGAGGACGAAAACACGTACATCAAGAGAGCCGAGGGTATCGAGAGGCAGTACCGCAAGAAGTGCGGCAAATGCGGCCTGCTGCTCTTCTACCAGCACCAGGAGAAGAACAACCCGGCCACCTCATCGTGGACGGGGCCGTGGTCAAGTTCGGGCAGGGCTTCGGCAACACCAGCGTCTACAGCCAGAAGCAGCCCGAGGCTCCCAAGAAAGTCCGAGTGATGATGACCAAGCGGACCAAAGACATGGGCAAGTTCAGCTCCGTCACCGTCTCCACCATCGACGAGGAGGAGGAGGAGATCGAGGCCAGGGAGGTGGCGGACTCCTATGCCCAGAATGCCAAAGTGATCGAGAAGCAGCTGGAGAGGAAGGGCATGAGCAAGAGGAGGCTGCAGGAGCTGGCTGAGCTGGAGGCCAAGAAGGCCAAGATGAAGGGCACTCTCATTGATAATCAGTTCAAATAGTTGGAGTCTGAGGAGACTCTGCCTGGGACTCGGTGTACAGGACTGATGAGTGTAGCGGTCGTATCATAAGAATGTGATCTGGCCTTTAAATTAGTTTGTCATAATGTTTTGTACATACAGGAAAAGACAAAATAAACATTTTTTTGTTGTTGGTATTTTTTAAAAAGTGTTTTGTTGTTGTCGTTATCACCAGCAGAGTGCTTTAAACCTCACAGAAGGCTTCGGCTGTTTGAAAGAGTCAGCCCACACGAGGGGGAAAACTTTATTAGCAACAGCTCAATGAACGGAAGCCTGTAGGTAAAGTTGTCACCATCAGTTTTGAGTTGTGTATAATTCAAACCAAATATTTAATTAAAAAATGTAATTTTAAAGCTACAAACACATCAGAACAAACATCGTTAGTTTTTTTATTGTATTATTTTCTTTCGCTCATTTTTATTTGAGCCAGTGAAACTTTTCAGGTTGGACCTGGCAGCAGGTTAGTAACATGATTAGGCACAAAAAGAGGTCATTCCAGAGAGACTGAAGATAGAGAAGAGGGTTCACTACTCTCAGACTTGTGTGTTCAGAATGGGTGAAACATTTAGGAACAACATTGCCAAGAATCTGGGAAAATCTTTGTAGTCAGTCTAGGTCAAATATGATGATTATCCAACTTGTTATCAGTGCATAGTTCAAAAGAAAGCATCTGTAAAGCTGTGGGAGTGTCCACCTCGAGGGCCGGTGTCCAGCAGCTTTCATATGTGTCCTTGATCCAACACAGCTGATTCAAATGGTTAAATGGCCTCCTCAGCATGTCTTGAAGTTCTCCAGAGGCTGGTAATGAACTAATCATGTGATTCGGGTGTGTTGACCCAGGGTGAGATCTAAAACCTGCAGGACACCGGCCCTCGAGGCCTGGAGTTCCCCACCCCTGGATTAGAGCATTCTTCCAAACTCTTCAGGAGAGTTCCTTAAATATCTGATCCCACAGAGGAAATGATTGTGTTGCAGCAGTAGGATAAAAAAATAAATAACAGAGTTAAATTAAAGTTCCACAGGCACATGGGGAAGGCCATAAGCTGACAGATCTTTATTTATAAAACAGGATAAAAAGAAAATAAATACAAGGTTAAGATAAAGAAAAGTAAGACTGACACTGGGCAATAAAGACGTGCAGACTGCATTCAAAAATACAGAAATATAAATATGGAGCAGGTCTGTGGACCTGTCACAGAAAGGCTCTGCTGTCTGTGTGGTGTGGAGCGTGTAAAGCAGGGGTGGGGAACTCCAGGCCTCCAGTGCCGGTGTCCTGCAGGTTTTAGATTGCACCCTGGGTCAACACACCTGAATCAAATGATTAGTTCATTACCAGGCCTCTGGAGAACTTCAAGAAATGCTGAGGAGTCATTTAGCCCTTTAAATCAGCTGTGATGAATCATGGACACATCTAAAACCTCCAGGACACCGGCACTCGAGGCCTGGGGTTGCCTACCCCTGGTGTAAAGTTTGGTGACTTCTGTCTCTTACTGACTGACACGCCTCCAGATTCTGACCAATGATGGTTCGTGTCTTATGAAGCAGCTTGTTAATACACCATGGCTCCACGATTCAGGTGGTAAACTGACAACAAACGAGGCCTTGAACTGTTGAGGAGCCCAAATGCTAAAAAAAGATCCTGTGATTAATGAGAAGATAGAATAACTGGGGCAGTGTCCGACCAGCACACCAGACTCAATGTAGGCCACAAAATACAAGACAAATTAGGAGAACAATGAGTCGCCTGGACTGGATCTCAACGTCACTGACAGAAGAGCCAAAGTATTTGTGGCTTTGGATGCTGATGGTAATGAAAACAAACAGCTTCAAAATAAATTGGAGACACAACTAAAACCAATAACTTGGCTACATTTGCACTTTTCTTCTGTGGTACAAACTGTTGTTACTGAGATCCAACACAGTATGCTTATCATTTTTATGCTTACTGTGATCTTTGTCACTGATCAATGTGAACTGGGTCTTTTTTCATTTGTCCTCACTGGTTGTTTTTCTCTCTCACATGTGAGTTTTTCCAGTCACGAGGTTAACTGATGATCCCTGGGACCAGCGGAAGACTCGGCATAGCTTCCAGATTTCTGTACTTTTGTATTCAAGAGTAATGCAATCCCTGTGCCTCACTTTCTGTGTCTGCTTTTTGTTGTATAATAGGATCATACATATTGTATTATATAACAAAGTAGCTCAAGGCGACTGTGCGCCACATGACCAGATTTCTCCTGATGAAGCCACAGACTGCAGCTTGGAAGCAGGTGTGGATCACCCATCTGATCTTTGTGATTTAACCTGAAGCCTGTGGTTTTGTCCCAAGGCAGCAGCAAAATTGAGATAAATAAAAATCAAATGATGTCAATAGAGTTTAAATGTATGCCTGTTCCCCACAGACAACAGCTGAATCTTGAGACTATGTAAGACAGGGATAACAATTTAATTTTACACAATGGGTCACATGTAGCCTTTAAGTGAGCTGGACCAGTGACACTTTGCTTTCTGTCACTGTACAAACGTTTAACTGCACATCGAATTCATGAGATATCTTAACTGAGGTTTCAACTGCGTGTCTTGTTATTTTTTATTTGATAAAGGACTGCTGCTGCAGCAAATGACTGAAACTTGTCAACATGACTCTATGAGCAAAAGTCTACCTGCCTCTATGCCCACATAGAGGTAGTTCAACTCCATATGAATAGACTGGTTCTTATATAGCACCTTTCTAACTGAGTACTCATAGCACTTTACACATATTGCCTCATTCACCCATTCATACACTGTTCATGTACTCTTTTTCTATGCTTCTCCTACACAAATTCTATCACATTCATGCAAGCAGCTTGGGGTTAGTATCTTGCCCAAGGATATTTTTCACACAGGCTAAAGCAACCTTCCAAATTAGTAGGTGACCTGCTCTACCTCCTGAGCCACAGCCACCCCAAGTAAGCATTACAGTAACAAAACAAGCATTTTAATACTGAAACTTTTGACAAAGAATACTTCTAAAAGCGAGAACAGCTTTTCATACTGTACACGTTTCTGCCTATATTTAGAAGAGTTATCCTACTACTTAGTTAGGTGTCTATACGGATAACAATCAATAGATAATAATAATAATGATGATGATGATAATAAATTATGACAGTAGGTGACGATATGCTTCGTTAATATTTGAAACTAGAGAAGAAGAAGAACTTCCGGGAGGGATGCGGGATTGTCCAATCA